GTAAGTGGAAGGGAAAAGATGAGGTACACGGTGGGCAGGTTGCTAATCTTTCACAGAGCTAACAGTGTTAATTTAGAGTGACTAGTTATCCTAAAGCCACTAATTGCATGTCTTTGGACTGTGGGAGAAAGCTAGATTACTCAGAGAGAACCCACACAGACAGGGGGGAGAACATGCAAGCTCCACACCGAAGGGCCCCAGACCTTCTTGCTGTGAGGTAACAGTGCAACACACATCCTACCTCACGATTCACCTGAATCCTAGTGAAACATTTTAAGAATTTTACGTGTGATTAAAATGTTTTTTTTTTAATTAACTTTTGTTTTGGTCAAAGAAAGGAGGCACAAACAGCAAATACCCTGCTCTTCTGGTGCATTTAAAAAGTATCACTGACTTGAAAATCAGCACGCACTTCTAGTTGTGTATTCATATGTGTAGATATCGTTGTACTTTGTGAACTGCCCATTGAAGACACATTCAATTTGTGTTAGAAAGTTTAGGTAGTTTTGAAAAGAATACAAAGCAACAATAGCTGCTTTGTATTCTGGGATTAAAATGACATGATTGCTCCGAGTGCAGACAAAAACACAGTTTTTGTTCTGAGCGACAGGACAACATCTCAAATTTTTTTTTAAAAAAAAGCTGAATTGTATTAGTTAGGGCCATTGATTTTCTGACATTCCTGTTTGAATATCAGTTCCTTGGAGAGAAGAAAATGTCCCTGGTGAGAGAGAGAGAGAATAAAAGAAACAAAATGCTTTAAAATGCTCACGCGAATCATCTTTTAGTCATTCTGCTGGGCTCCCACTCTCAGTGATTTTGTTTTTTTTAATACTTAAGTTACACACGCCACTCTTCACTGACACAAAGACACTGGGTGGACTTTTTATACATTCGGTAGGATTTGTTGACACACCCAGATATTATGCTGGTGCAGCAATTTTCACTTCATTTGTGCAGTTACTGTGCTAAGGTTTTTTTTTTTTAAAGCCGGCAACCACAGAATATTTTCAATGTGTGAAACATGGATCACTGACTTCCAAAAAGCTCTCACCCACAAGCTGGGGGAGGTTAAGAGCAAAAAAAAAAAAATCAAATAAACATGAGGCAAATTCTCTCCCCGTTGACATCAAAGTGGCTCACATTTGCAAATTTTTCTTCTTTCAAAGTTTTTCAGGGGTTTATCATTTCAACTTACTTATTGACCATAAAAGGTCTCCAGAAAAAAAGAAAAAAAAAAAGATCCTTTGGTTGTAGCTGTTCATCATCATCTCCTCCCCTCTGTCATGTCCTCTCTAGCCTGCTGACACTGATGGTTTCTAAGTGAGTATCTCATCCAACTCTCCCTCTCTCTCTCTCCTCCTGTCATAATCACTGCTCTTTATGATCGGTTTGCCCTCTCTGCCCTTTCAAGATGCGGCGTGTAATGAGGGCTCTGGAGAACTATGTGAGTGGGCTATTTAGCTATTCAGACAAGATCAGCTCACACATCCCACGCTCTCTCTCGCTCGGCTCCCTACCAATACCTTTCAGCTGAGTGCAGTGATTGTTTGTCCTGCTCGCAAGGTCACACTGTGGATGGAGCCGGAGCAGCTCCCGCATTCAACATCCATGACGGGCCTTTTAGTGTCTGCTCACCACATGGAAATTGAATGATTAAAATGGGCGATTTAAATATTCAATTCGATACTACTGTCAAATTATTTTGTAGAGCTTAATAGCTGCAAGGGCAACATAAAGGGTCAGTTTTCTCAAATTAAAATAATAATTATAACATAAAATACATATTTCCTCCCACCAAAATCTGTGCACGCCGTATGAATCCATCATATTTTACACCAGCAGCAGCTTTTTTTTTTTTTTTTTGCAATACTGCCAGAACTCATTAACCTTGATTTTCAAGTACTGCTTGTACATGCTGTTTGCAGACACTTTAATAAACAGCAAATAATATTATTTCTATTAAGGCCCAAAAAAAACGTGAAACTTACTCTGCAACCTTCCCCACCCACTAGATAAACAAATTATGTCCATGAGTGCTTATCGATGAACATGTACAAATTCTTCCTGCAATTCATGTCCAGTCTGCTTGTGTGGGTTTTCCTCCCACAGTGCAAAGCCAAGCATGTTACATTAATTGTGGAGTTGATCCCCAGTTAAGAAAACAAATGGATGCATTTCCAGCAATGAGACTGAAACTAATACACACACACATCCTCCCCATCCATCCAAGCAATCAACCCCAAACGAAAAACAAAGACTGTACGCACTACCTTATGTGAGTCAGCACATTATAAATCCAAGTTATACATATGCAGTAAAAATGTTTAGTTTGTTTGTGCCCTTTTCTTATGTCCTTTGATTCTTAACATTAGTGGAAAATTAACTCGTATCGCTGTTTTTAATAATATGGTTTATTATGATTTTCAGTTGTGATTGTTCATCACACATTAGTAACATAACTATTTTAAATCATATCTAATTTACCACATAAAAGTGTTAAATTAGAACAGATCGAAAGCGCATCAAATCTGACTTTTTTGACCCTATGCGACCCATATCCGATCATGCTATGACAGTGTGAACGGCACAAATCCGATATTTTCAAATCCGATCTGGGTCACTTTCCTATGTGGTACTGAATCCGATACATATCTGATGTTTTAGAAAGCCACTGCTGTTTGAATGGTCATGTCGCATTAAATCCGTCTTTTACGTCACTGATACAAGACAGACGCTAATTATCAGTGCCGGAGAAGACATGGTGAACGCTTCCTGGCCATCCAGTGTAGATGTTGAAACTGTTGGGAAAACAACGTTGGAGAAACGTGAACATTTTATTTGTACTGTATAATCTGCAGATTCTGACAGAAATCTGCAACTATCCTTTGAAGCACCGCTCCTCTCTAAAACAGCTTTAAGGATAATTATAAGGCCATATGTAAATAACAAAATAACTTTATAACTTAAAGCAAAATTGGGAAACGTAAAGTCCGAAACAAGTCTTTAAGGGTCTAAACAGAGCGAGTTGTGTGTGACGTCTTCTTTTGCGCATGCGGGCCGCTTTGAGGGTTCACACTAGAGGCTTTGCTGTCACATTTTATTTGTAGTGTGAACAAGCAGACAAAAAAAATCGGATTTGATCAAAAAATCGGAACTGAGCATTAAGACCTGCAGTGTGAATGTAGCCTAAGATTCAAAGCTCATTACATTAGAAAAAAAAGGAAAAATGAAAAGAAAAAAACCTGCATGTGTAACATAAGTTTAATAATAGAATAAACTCCTCTTCAGTTGGTTAAAAACCACAAATTCCCAGAGATATTGTGAGGACAGAAACTCAGGGTCCTGTGTGGCAGTTGTAACACTGCACATGCTAACATGTATTACTTATGTAACGTGTAAGGGAGAAAATGAACATTAAAACTTAACAACAACAAGTTTTACAATCTTTGGTTTTACCCCACATATTGCTCAGTTACGGTATTTGGTCTAATGCTTAGATGACCTCATTAAGACCTCAGTAAGATCTAGATTGCTCAAAACAGCGATGCCCATCTTGCACAGTGTCCACTGAGGGACACATACCAGGCTGGACATTTCTTCCTGTTAGAAGGGAGTTTTTCCTTCCCACTGTCACCAAGTGCTTGCTCATAGAGGGTCATCTGATTGTTGGGTAATAGAGAATAGAGAAGTCACAAGTTAGGACTAGTAATACTCCTAACTTTACAATATAAAGCACCGTGAAGGATTTGATTTTAGACAAAGGGAAATTGCTAGATCGTTAGATTTTTAATCTGCTCTGTTCTCACCTCTGTCCCTGTAGTTTAGACTAAGCGCCAACAATGTCCATGCCTGCTAAACGTGCACACCTGACTCCACCATGTGCATGCGTCTTTTAGAAGCACCGCCCACCTCTGATTCTTGACCTATGATCGCTCACACGCTTTCAGCGTCATCTCCCGTTGGACTTGCGTGTCAACATGGCGGCTTCCATGGCATCCCAGGCTGTAGCGAAAGGACTGAGGATAGCTACTTCAAAGCACATACTTCTTGATAAAGCGAAGGTAGCGTTACAGCTTCTCTTGCTGATGTTACGGTCTGCTGCTCGGGCTGGGTGACTTCGTCGCTGTCAGCGTCTCACGGCTAGGGTTAGCGTTAGCAAGTTAGCATGTGTGAGCGGACAGAGGTTTGACAGATCAAAGTTGAACAGTGTGACAGTTCACAGGTGACGTAACAATGCCGTCTTCAAGTCCTGCAGTAGCTCTAATCGTGGAGGCTGTTAAATATACGCGCTGCTCTACAAATGATAGTTATTCGGAAAGAGCTTGTTTGAGTACAGCTTTTCTAATGCGCTCCTGCATGTGAATGTTACTCGTGTACACCGTCTGTCACTATAACTGTGAGTCTGTAAGTTTGTGCGTTTAAGGTATTTTTAATTTTTCTTTATTGCGTATAATTGAACTGCAAGGGTCTTCTCGTCAGTAAGTTATTTTGCATGCTTAGGTTCAGCACTTCTACAGTGGGCTGTGTGACCTCTGATGAGTAAAAGTCATAGTGAACAAAACCTCCAGCCTGGCCCCATTTCAGATAAGACCCGAGTTTAACCTTTGCACTTTGAGCTTTCAGCATGTGTGTGTGAGCTGGCAACAGCAGCCAGCAGAATTCGCCTGATTAGAGTTGTCTAAGTACACAGTGGCAAATGCTTACAGTTGCACAGTTACTCATTTAGCAAACAAAGCATTTGGTCTGGTAATTGCAAAGAGTCTTAAACATGCTGCCAGAGCTGCAAGACATAAATCCCCACACCCCCTGCACTGTATTGACTAACAAACAAACCCAGTCACACAGAGTTGTGCTTTCATAATAAATTTCAAAGCTCCAGGACGAACAGATGAATAAATTAGCATGATATGCTGTACTGTCAGTTTGATGCAGTTTTGAAGCAGTCGGTATCTGAGAACTGGTCTTTCAGGTTGAGGTGCCTGCATAGGTATTTGGAACATTAGTACAAATCACCATAGTGGATGGACAAAGCAGGGACATCTCATGCTGTGTTTACCTTTCATATTTACTCCCAGATGGATTCAAATGGATGGAAACTTATCATCAAACAGATTTCATGTGCAGTGTGGTAGAGTATTTTTGGAAAGGTGATTGACTGAAAAATAATTGTGCTTTATGCTGATAGAAAAGAAAATATGTAAATTGAACTTCTTCTCTTATCCAAATTTGTCCAGATTAGCTTGGTAATCTCCTAATACTAAAGCTATTAGACATAATTACATGCTGCATCTCAGTATCAGAATTCATTATTATTGCTTTTCCGCATTAATATTATGACTTATTACAAAGTATTGTCAGAAACGCATGGAGGTTTTCTTTTTATGTTTTTGTTATGTCTTGTGTTAAACTAGTTGCTTGCTTCTCTGCAACCATTACAAAACTATAGAGAGGCCAAGTAATGGCCCACACTTTACTCCAATTATAAACCTGCATATATCTGTGCGTCAGGCCTCCCCCCTCCCCCCCGCCCCTTTTCTTCATGTGGCTATTGCACATAGCTGCATTATTTTCTGAGTCCTTCCAAAATGTGGGCAACCTGCAGCTTACCTTGCCGGAACATCTTGGATTGGATGCTGCTTTGATAATGTGCTGTTCACACTGTGCCTTCTATTTAGCCATGTGTCTGTGTCTGTGTTGTTTTTTTTTCATGATTGAAAACCTTTGGTTAATATTATTACCTAAATAAAAAAAAATGTCCCAACCAAGGCAACCAATTGCATGAAACATTTCCATTATTTCTTTTCTCATTTTCCACCAACACATTCCTTAGAGCAGGGAATGGGAGCCCCTGTAAAGGCTGCAATTATTATAATTTTTTTTCCTCCAGCATTAGTTCATTATTTTTTTTATTTGCTCTACAGGATTACTAAATCTTCTATTATTATATATCAAATATAAGTGTTTTTTATTTATTTAAAAATATATATTTTTCATCCATCTAAGAAAGCAACTGTCAGTTTGCTAGTGGACGACAACTTCGCTCTTATTTTGAAAGGTCATTTGGCGTTTAAAATCTGGCCTTTCCAACTCCTGTTTTTCCAACTGGCTATCTTGCTAGCCGGGGGTGGAAAAAGAAGTGTATTTCTTTTTTAGCACTTACAGCACCAACTATATGAAATATCTCTGAAATTGAGGAACCTGCATCAATAATCAGCCTATCTGCATAAGGTAAAATTTAGATATGTCAGTGGAGGCCTGAGACCTGGCCTGAACTGTTCCTTTAAAAAGTAAACTCTAACAAAAGTTTTTATCTCATGTTTACTGGCTCTTTACCTGCTCGTCTTCTGCTTCTTTCACTTCTTTCGCTTCTGTCTCTCTCTTTCTCTCGTTCGGGCCAGGTGATAAGAGTAATGATCGGGGATTTTCTCTGGTGTGTAGCACAGTATCAGGTCCTGAACAGATTAACAGTCAGGTATCGCTACAATAGAATCAAATCAGCTTTGACAGTATGTCAGCTAAGCTGTGGAATTCAATTTGCAATGATTTGTCACCAACAATGCACAGGACATTGCAATATTCAGATGGTTAGGCTCCAAGATACTCCTTAAAGGAGGAGTGAGATGTTGTTGTTATTTTTTCTCTCTCACACACTCTCTTTCTCTCTCATAAATCAAATCTCCTGAATTCTTGTCTGCACACCGAGATAATCCTCGGGTTGTTTTTCACTGTCGCTGCACAGGGATGAATTTGTAAACCTTTGCTAAATTTTATTTTTTGTGTGGCGAGCGTGCTTGGTAATACCCCAACTGTGTTGAAGCCCAGCGTGGTTTGAAGGGGTACACTGGGAAGAAAGGTGTCTCAATGAGACTCAGTCCTGAATATTTTACAGAACAGGGTGGAGAGCCCTCTGCTTGCAACGGCTTCTTTTGCTGGAACTTCAAACGACGGGAGGCTCCCCCATCTGTCTCAGCAAGAACACATTTACATTTCCTCCCCGCAAGGGATACTGGAGGACGAAGTTGGCTCTAACTGGATTTGAATATCGTTCGCCAAGGTTAATAGCCATTTCTGTAGCTGGTGAGGTGCTTAGGCTTTTTCAATAATTTAGAGCGGCTGCAGTCATTAGGAAATGTTGCCAGCCTCTGCAATGAGTAAATGCACTCCTATCAGCTTAACTTATGCTGTTGTTCCAGTGTCGATAATGAGGGAGAAGTGGGAGTAATGCTGAAAATTACTTGAGAAAACAATGTCAGTGATGGCTGACAGGCGTAATTCATTAAAAGTGCAGTATATTGAAGATCATGTTCAGCTTCTCTATCATCTGTGAAATGAGACCTTCAAAGATTGAGTTTTCCTGGAACTACCCTTTGTGCAAGTCATAGGAATGCGATTCATTGAAAATTCTGACGGGGTCTGGCTGGCTGATCTCTCTGTGCCATAAAGGCGGTGATTCCACTAGCACTGCGTGAGTGAAGAGAGTGTGTTACAGAGCACAATGGCTGCTGCCACTTGTAATAAGTACGCTGTAGTACTCTTTGCACAGTTTTGCCTAGATATCGACCATCTCGCCTGCTTAACCTTGGCATGCATGCCATGATCATTTTTAAAGTGGTGACGGCATATTAATCTGAACTTATTGATGAACGAGATAATTACGCCATCAGCTAAAAGCAGTGCGTGGCTATTAAAGCACAAGGGGAAGGCTTTTGCAATTCATGAGCTGTGACTGAAGGTTTGTGCCTGTGGCAAAGTTCACAGACATATGGGACTGAACTTTGCCACAGTTGCGCATCCTTGTATTAACTTCTCCTTATTTACTGCATTATCTTCCCTTTAGACCTGACACCTTTGAATTTGACTCCCTCCTCATATTAACTATGCTAATTACTGAAATCCCTATCTGTAGAGACACAACAGTCAGGTTTTCCTTTCTTAAGCCTGTCTGCAGGAGATTAGACCTGCCCTGCCTAAAGACCTGCCAATGATGCAAATCTCACTGATCTAAATCCTGGAGCCATGCTCTACTGCTTCCGTCTCTATCTCTGCTCCGCTGTTCTATCCCCGGCTCTGTAACAGGCAGATGTCATTTCTCTCTCCTTACTGAAATGGTCTGAGCGTGACCTTAGCTTTTTAAAAGGCAAGGGCAAAAAAAAAAGCTACAAGTGGTTGCTAGCAGTAATAAGAGCAACAGCGCATCTTTTGTGCAATAACCAGACCCAAATTTAATTTACCACTTTTTTTATTTATTTGTTTTGTCCATGTGATCAGAAAGGTAAAGTCCTATAGTATAAAGTGCCTTTCTCTGGTAACTACAACAGAATGAATAGGCCAAACATTTGAAACGCTTTAACATGCATAACTTTTTAAAGGGAGTTATGTAACCTGCAATCATTTATTTATTAATTTTTTTTTTTTGATAAACTAAATAACCTATTCATGCTTTTCATCCAAATCTATAGAAGCACTGCCACAGTTGAGGGGTAGAGAGAGGCACTTGTGCCACGAACACTCAAGCACTATATTAATTAGAGCAGATAAGGCTCTTTGAATTAGTCCACTAAAGCTTCATGAGGCATACTCGTGCTGCTTTAAATGGAAAGCATGGCTGTGATTCATACTGGCATGTTTGTGAACACAGCTTCTTCGCGTCGTCCATCTCTCTTATTTTATGTCACCTCTAGCACAGCGTACTACGCAGCGCTTGTCTTATCGCAAGACAGTTTGTATTTATGAGATGCAACGAAGTAGCCAAGTGCCACCTCATTAACAGAGTAACACTGTGCGATCAGTATAGCAGTGACTCTGATAGTCACACAGAGGACTGCTCAATGTGATTCAGCATGTGCTTGTGCGAGTGGACACTATAAATTTCCCCTTTTAATTTTGCCTCGGATGGTTAGCTGAATGGATGGGGGAAAGAGATGAGTTCATAACCTGAATGGGAACAAATCAATTACATAGAATTGATGAACTGGCAATCTGTTAATTTCTTAAACATTTGATAATGCCCCTTAAGGAGCATTCTGGTTAATTAAGTCTGCAGTCATTTGTCTTAACTAAT